TAAGCAAGCAACATGGGCAGGCACATAATAGTTAGGCATTAATAGTTCACAGGCAGACTTTCTTTTTTGGCTTCCGTTGAAGTCTTGCAAGCAAAATAGTTAGCAGTTTTTCCAGACCGTTTTTGTAAGAAATGTACTCAAAAGCAAGCAGCAACCACAGGCACAGAGGCATTAATAGTTCAAAAGCAACACTATTTTGGTCTTGAACCAAACATTTGCCATTCATCAGACTTTGATGTCGCAAACATTAAACCAACAAACTAATGTATTATCGTAACTTATTTTATTAATGGAGGTGAGGGTGAAGTTAGCAAATTTGATCAATCTTATGTTTCTCAAGCGATGTTGGATTAACACCATTTTTTTAATACTCTCATGTTTGAATGTAGCGTTGTGATTTTCAAACGTCTGATAAAAAGTGACAACCCCAGTAAGACCACAGCAGCATTAACAGATCAAGATGCTGAACTGGGAAACAGTGCAGGCAGAATAGTGACATGCAGCATAGATGATGAGGAGGAGCAGGACAAAGAGGAGGATGAGGAGGAGGTGAAGGCGCCAAGATGCAGAGTAGTGGGTGTGGCCCAAGTCCTGTCAGTGCAGTGAAGGAAGAATCATTGGCACATTTGTCAACAAACAAATAAACTGCTTGATGTGGTCAACAACATGGGAGGCAACGTTATTTATCACGTCAATGTGCACTTTTCGAAAATGACAGCCATCATTTGGCACTGGAGTCATGGCAAATGCACACACACATACAGAAAGAAATACAGTCCTGGCTGAAAATCAGATTTTCATTTGGGGTTTGATTTTTTTTTTTTTTTTTCATTCATTCTGAAGCGCAGAACACACCCAGCCTGGCAGTGAGTGTAATCTATGTGTGTGGTTTGTTCTGGAGAAAAGCCATATATCGCTTCCAAATTGACAAAAAAGCTTTGTGAGATAAATTGGATTCTCCTGCCTGGATCAATACTCTGACTTTGTCTGTGTGTCTGAATACAGTGGAGCTGATCTCTACTATTCCACGGACAATGATCTAGTCTCTACAACCTCTATTGATCCCACCCCCGGTGTGGGTTACAGTAATGTACGGCCCGGCTTTCATGAACACAGACAGCAAATTTAAAAGTAGATACAAGAGGTTGGACCTGTTTGATTTCTGACAGGTTAAGAGGTCTGTGCTGTTATTAAGTCAGAGACCAGTAGGGGGCACTTGGTAAAATCCTTACTTCTTTTTCAACCTGCGGTCCTTCTCAGCCTGTGTTCCCAGTTTGCTCACACCCATGTCCTGACCCGCCAGGTCTGAGTCCATCATGGTCGCTGGTAACAGAAGAGCACAAAATGACATTTTCATACTCAGTGAAAGAACTACCTTAATTATTAATGTCCTTTTTCTAGAGTTTTATTTTGGCTTTTTGTTCAGCTGATCCATTGTTAGTTGGGTATTTTTTATTTTATTTTTTATTGTATTAAAATTAGCAGTTGTTGGCTCATCTGTTGCTACTTATTGGGTGAGTTTTTATGCTAACTTCTTGCTATTTGCTACTCTTGACTGACAGTGATCTTCCAGTGGGCTGAACTGAAAGATCAAAATTACTGAATAAAAAAGTTAGCGAAGGCTATGAAGGCACATCTGGAACATCAGCACTAACCTTAAAATGAACTTAGTAATTAGACGATTTACTTTAAGATTTAAGGTAGCCTATAGTGTCCCACTAACCTTGTGGATCTACCATGACCTGTCTGTGGGCCAGATGAGCCAGTCGACCTTTCTCCTTCTTCCCAAACAGTCGTCCTATAGAGGACTTGATGCCTTTCTTCTTGGGCTGTTTGTGCAGTGAGTCTGAGCTGCTGGCGACGCTGCTCAAAGCCTCAGCCTCCAGTGAAGCCACGATTCTAAGGAAATAAAGATAAAGACACATATTTGGTCTCTGTGTTGTATAATTCATTTTTTCCTATTTTTATATTTGGTCTTTATATTTGTGTTGTATAATTCATTTTTTCCTATTAAACTTAACGAAATTGGTAAAAATGTGGCAGTTTTTTAACACAATTTGGTATTTGGAGATGCAGCTGTGTTTGGTATTTGGGCCTCACCAAATAGTGTGTGGGTCACATTCCAGTCAAATCTGACTCCCTGCTGGTTTCCCAGACTACTTGGTGCGGTCTAATATAAAAAGCACTTTAATTGACGATAAGCTGTTGTACTTACTGCAAGCTATCAACAGCTAACTTCATTACATATGTTGACTAAGACCAATGTTGCTGTGATGTTATATGCAGATGATCAAGATTATATAAATATTAAGAAACACATAGAAAAGGTTTTACCATTGAACTATTTTTTATGTATTTCTTGACCAGTTGTTTAGTTTAAACCCACCCTCGTGCGTCGTTGTGCGAGGAGGCTGGCAGTGTGTGTGTCATCCTGACTGTGCGAGGTGTTGGAGGAGGCGACGTCTCACACTTAATGGTGGCCTTGTCTTCACGACCGTCCTCCTCCACTGCTGCTATCTGAGGGACGAGGACAGATAAACATCTAAGTACTTCAATTAATGTGGTTGTAAATTTATAGAGTTTTCCAAGTTCATACATATTTTTCCAGCTAAACGAACCAACTGTTAGAAATCAATCTCAAGCTAGTTACCGTAAGCTAGTTTTGCTTAATATATTGTCTACCGTTTAGTAATCCACAGGGCTGGGTTTGGCTTTGCTTTTGAGAAAAAAATGTGAATTTTTTTTTTTTACAAATTCAAGAAAATACAAAATTATTTTTTACTTTATTTTAAGCCACTGTTTTAAAAAACAATTATGTCATCTTAAAAATGATTAAAATCGTTCAGAAAGTCTGAAAAATTAATAATTTGTATTTAAAGAATTAACACAAATCCTGTGTTCTATCGTACAGAGACACGACAGCTGCAAGATGAAAGATCTGTTGTTATGAGTGACGTGTGTGTGGGTGTGTGTGTGTGTACCTTTCTCCTGTGTTTTCTCAGATCACTGGGCTGTGGGAGAACAAGACAAGCGTCAGTGACTCTAATTTAAAGCGGCGGCACAAACCATAACTTATGCTCGTCAGTAATAAATGAGAGGCTATTGGTTTATTGGTGCAAAATTATACACTATTAGATGCTCAGGAGCCGTCACCGTCAGTGAAAGGAGAGAACCAAATAGACAAATCAATACAGAGTAAATGATCAGAGTAGACATCACAAGATCAATAGATGGGATGTTCCTTTAAGAGCCTGTGATCGTATATTAAAGAAGACATCACATCCCTCTCCTGTTGCACGACATCGTGTGTGTGTGTGTGTGTGTATCTGTGTGTGAATATTTTTAGCTTTGAAGTGTTTCCACTGTGATGGGCTCATCTGGGCTGCTTACGCCTCAGGAAACAAACGGCGGGACATAATGTTGTCTATTCTGAGCGTCAGTGTGAGTGTGTGTCTTCACTGACAGCTGACAGAGCGAGAAGGTTCCTGTCACGATATTTTACTCCGCGCGCTAATGTGATGCAGTCAATCTTTAACTATTCATGCCGATTGCAGATGCCTTCGTAGCGCCGCAATGACAAACAAGGCAGTACGTGAGGCCAACAAAAATGTAAACAGACTTGGACTGTCTTCAACGTGAAATGCATCTCGTTTTTTCTTTTTCTGTGAAATCCAAGTGATAAGAGTTGTTATGGTGCATGATTTTCTGAAATGAATTTCTTGTTTGTGCAAAATTAAAAAAAACAAAACAATTTTTTGCACACTTTTGACTTTTCTTTGTGAAAACCTGGTTTTCAAACACTTCAGAGTTCAAGACTTCGAGTGATGAGAAAATTAACTGTAGCAGGAGTATATATATAAAAATATCTTTGGTTTTATCCCTTGTACTAATATGAAGAGATTTCAAATGTAAATGTTGATATGAGTATGGACATTTTTTCTCCATTGGTGCTTTTCTGCTCTGGTTCATGTGAGAGCTGCAGCAGTCCTTAGCCCAGTTTAAGCTCAATGCCACATACAATGTCATACAACTGAAATAATTGAACCAAAAAAAAAGAATTCTCTGTGTTTTTCCACTTATGTTGAGTGCAATGACCTGGAGTGATGATTCATTTACAGCCAGCAACCTACCAATGTCATGACACCCATTCGCTCCATGTCTCTAGCAGGACTCCTCGGATCAAGTTTAGGGGTGGAGTGACCACTAGGAGGGGAGGAGGAGGCCAAGGAGGAGGCTGTGGCTGAGGCAGTGATAGAGGCCCCGTGGTGGTGCATTCGGGCCAGGTTAAGACCATCCAGGCTGACACTGGCGACACGGTTCTCAATCTCCTCTGCTCGAAGCTCCGTGGACTCCTTCTCCTCCTGTATGAGGCTGGGAGACAACAGGAGACAGAGTCAAAAAAAAGAGTGGATATTTGATTATTTACAACATATTCCTTTAAAAGAATAACTTCATATTAGTAACAAATTGTCACAAAAGAGCCAAAAAAATAATAATTAGGTTAGCCATAGGGCAGTAATAATATGTAAAGACAATAAAAGCTAATAATTATAATTATTTCAAAAATAGCTATAAATTATGGTAGGAACAGCTTAAATAAAATATAGTTATGATTTTGAATAACAAATAAAAATGTACTTTTTCCAATGCAATAAAGGTAGCTGTGAGAGCTAGGCAAATGTATACCAAATGAGCTAGCTAAACAATCAAAAAATTAGTAAAGCCAATAGAGCAAAAAAAAAAAAAGAAGAAAGAACAAAAGTTGCTGTGTGATTTACACTTCTCATTTCAATGGACGTTCATACCTTGAGTTCCACTCATTAAAGTCCAATGTGTGGTGACAAAAGAAGAGCTAAAGTTCTCATCATTAGCCTGAACCATACCCTGGGTGTTGCTCTATAATTAGCCGAAAGCTCAGCTCCGACACCATCCCTGAATTAAATCTTCCTGCAGGAAAACGTGGCTCTTTGTCTGAGTAAATTAGCCAAAGACCAAAAGGCACATTAGGAAGTGCTGTTGTGCCTTAAGTTGTGCCTGAGGTTATGAATACGTATGAGTGTGAGATAATTAAAGTTTTTAACAAGTGAGAGGCTGATCACAGCTCCCTGAACACCAAGATCATGCAGGACCAGTGTTTGGTTCAGTGGTAGCTGCAATCTGCTGAAATATTGAGGAGATAAATCAAGGTTTCCAAGCAGCACATTCAGCCACATTCTAGCATAACATGAAACGCAGAACATTTTTTAATATTAAACTGCAGTTTTTGTCTGATTGTAGACAACTGGTTGTGGAGTGACTCAAAAAAGTAAATAAATGAATAAATAGATGGATCGATAATGATTGCAGAACACACAAATATAGTTTAAACATGTGAAAAAATGGCATAAAGTTAGTTACTAGTTCAACAATAGTTGGTAAAGTGCACGTTATGCAAATACTTGACAGTTAAAAACGGTTAATTGCTAATGTTCTGTAAAAAAATAAACTGAATCCTTAAAAGCCTTGGTTCCTGCGACAGAGCACTAAACCAAGAGTTTAGCAGATAAACTGAGCTGGGTTGTCTACAGTAAAGATGGCAGATGAACATATTTGGTAATCTGGTCTTTCCTTGAAAACAAATTTAATCAAGAGACAAGTTCCAGGTACCGGATTTCTTTGTTAATAGCGTCCAGCTGCTCCTGCAGCATCATGGCCAGGGTCTGTGCATCAGAGTGACCGCTGGGCGACAGCAGGTCCATAGAACTGAACAGAGTTTCCCTGTCGTCGTCGTCGATGTCCGACATCTCGGTGTCGCTCTCAAAGTGGTGACCGCCCAGAACGCCCAGCTGCTGCGAGCGCCACTCATGTTCACCCAGGGATTTAGCCTGAACATAGAAAAACACAGAAACAGATGCTGTACACACCACTGTAAATCTTACACAAAGCATTAAAAAATATTTAAGAATGTGAAAGAGCAGAAAAGAATGACTGTAAAAGGAAAATAGCCTGGCAGTTTGTTGAAAAAAACAAAAAAAAACAACATTACACAATTCATTAGACATTATTTTTAAAATGTAGAAAAATATTTTCACAGAAAAGTAATCTTCAAAAGGATAATATTGAATTAGATAAAAATCAGTATTTTAATGACTTAGCTAACTCAAAAAACAGAGAGATCACCTTTGTTTCCCTCAGGCCGACTCGACCTCTTCTCGGTCGACGAATGACCTTGGCTGAACGGTAGTGGTCAGACTGGGTTTCTGCCAAAGATCCGAGAGAGAACCGTAGCTCAGCTGATGTGTCCAGATGAGACCTGGAAAAGAACATTGTAAATAACCTTATTATTATTATTATTATTATTATTATTATTATTATTATTATTATTATTATTATTATTATTATTATTATTATTATTATTATTATTATTATTATTATTATTATTATTATTATTATTATTATTATTATTATTATTATTATTATTATTATTATTATTATTATTATTATTATTATTATTATTATTATTATTATTATTTAATTATTAATATAATTATTAATATAGCTACATAACGTATCATCTACATCTCTTTGTAGATGCTGTAAACCTGGCAGAGCTGTAATGTTATAACTCCATGCGGCATGAAAGAGAAGCCAGAGAGAAGAACCAAGAATAGAGGATAGGAGGGGGTCAGTGTTACAAGTGTTTCTAACAATAGAACTGGATAAATATAGCCACGTCTGCTGCAGATACAGCATCAGGAGGACGAGGAGAGATTTTTTATTTTATTTTTTACTGCTGTTAAAGCTCAAACTACATGATTTATACACTTTACCCAGGATTCCCAGTCAGAGAGAAGTTTGGAGGAGCTAGAGTCAGTTAAAATTGGGGGCCGTTTGAGAGAAGGCTCTACCCTCAGGACGGCCAGTTCTTATTGGTTAAAACCAAAAGAATTGGTTCCAAATTTCCAGGTTACACTTCCTCCGACAGCCTACTGTACCTGGACAGGGTTGGTTCAGTGAGGGATCCCGCCCTTAGTCTGAACTGATCCAGCTCTGACCTCAGCTTCTCTATCTCTTCTGCCAGGTGAGTCTGGAGGAGACAGTTTCCAGCAGTTAATGTCAACACTGCAGCTTGAAGCCAGAGAAGCTGATTAAAATCATACGACTGAAGAGAAGCTAACGATTAGAAGGTTTTGAAAAGTCATCAGAACGACAATTAATCAAATGCAAACAAACCTCACTCATTATTCCTCAGTTATTTAATACTTCATTATATGATGAAAAATGGAAGAAACTACCTACCTTCTCCTGTATGGACTCCTCGTACCGTTTTCTGTAGCCCTCTGAGTCCTGGATCAAGACGTTCTGGACGTGCGGAGGGAAACCAAAAGAAGGAAAGAAAATGAGTCTTTCAATGATTTATTCATCAACAGCTCAGATGTTTCCATGGATCTAAAAGCCACGTCTGACCTTCTCCTCCAGAGCAGCCATCCTCTCCTTCAGGTGGAGCTGCAGACGTTCGTTGGACTCTGTGAGGAGTCGGTCCACGGTGTCTGAGAGCCTCTTGTTATGCTCCTCGTTCATTTTTTCCCTCTGTCGAGCCTAAAAACATTTGTAAGATCAAATGTACATCACCACTTTTTTCATAATCTAATTAATATATTAGATACTGATATTAAAGCAAACACCAAGAAACTAGCCAATATTGACCTTACTATGACATTTTAGAAGCTAAAATTTGCTAGCACTACATCTGGTATTTAAATCTTATTCTTTTGCAAACCACTAGGGGCAGTCGAAGTCCAGTCAGTCATACACGTACCACAGTTTAACAACCAAAAATTTAAACCATTTTTACTTTATCATGACAAACATATTCCTGAAAGATGAACTGTTCATGGTCGAGAAGAACTGCTTTCTTCCTTTTTTTTTTTTTCCTGTGTTCTTGTCCAGATAAATATATGAATTAAGAAGTGCTGCTCCTCAGGGACAGAGTCCTGGAGCCGTCAAGCTCATGTCTCAGCAGCTGCCTGGATCCACGCCTCCACACTCCAACTCTGACTCACCCTCAACAGCTCCTGGTTCTTCTCCTCCAGCTGGCATTCCAAGTGCCGCATCCGCTCCTCGATGCTCCCGTGGCGCTCCTCCGCCTACAGACAATACACAGCAGAAACAGAAACAAAACAGGGAAACCATGTTTACACTAACTAAAGAAAAAAAACAGCAGAACAATAACAACGATCAGACAAACAGAAGCTTCCCCTCCCAGAACGCTAAGATGAGGTTGAACTGGGTGAGGAAAAGCAGAAAATGAAAAGGCATGGGAGACTGGAGATGAATCACATCACACCACGCTAAAACCATCTCTAATGAACCCCATTATTTTTTTGATTTATTAAATTCATTTATATTTAACATAAATATTTTCAAAAATACATATTCACATTTAAACTAACAAATAGTTGTAAGGTCATGCAGGTGCATGATCGCATCTACCCCTGAGTTCAGCTGTTGTATGAGGATTTACTTGCTTTTCATTGGCTGGCATTTGTTCAGTAATAAGCAGATCGTCGTCTGTGAAGAAATTACACAGCATCAACAGCAGAGTTGGTTGTCTGTGAAATATTTATGGTCACACAGAATAAAATGTCATGAATCTGATGTGTGGAAGATGAACAATAAAAACTGAACTAAACAACTTGCAGTACAACTTGTATTACAAACGGCAAGTATTCATTTCTGGGTTTCATTAACAATAAAGAAAAAAGTCTGTAACAGGAAAAACTGGAGGAATGAATGTGTGTATAGGCACTGAGCAGTAATTTGGTCACAGTGGGAAGAGAAATCTCAAGGGGGCAGCAGAGAGGAGAGGAATGGAATGAGAAACAGATGTAAAAAAAGAAAGAAAAATCTTTATGTAGAAGACCTAGGAGCTTTAACGTCCTTTGATTCTACCATCCTAAGAATAGAACGTTGGAGGCAGATACACAGAAATATCACAGACAACAACATGGACCTGGAGCTGATGTGCAGATGTGTGTCAGATTGCTTCTTCATCACTAGCGTGTGCATCTGTGTATGAAACGTAGCTCTACCTTGGTGAGCGCCGCTATCCTCTGGGCCAGTTCGGCCTCCACCTCCGGCAGCGTCTCGGCCTTCCTCATGGTCTGTTGGAGCTTCTGCTCAGCCAGTTCGAGACGTTCCTGCAGCTGCCTGTTCTTCTCCTCCATCTTCACACAAACAGGAAAAAAGATCGTTAAAATATACAAACATTTTGGAGAGATTCGAAGATTTAAAGATTCAATTTTATCTATCGGAATCTCTGTTCTACTCTTCTCTGCTCATGGCAGAACAGCGTCACCTTCTGGTTGAAAACCAAATTTCAGATGTGACTTTGTGACCTGTGTCTTCATGTCAGCATAGAAGCAGAAGAGTCAGAACAGCAGCTGCTCACTGCTGACCGGCACTGATTGTTGGAGCTTCTTTGACTCAGCAGGAGGACGAATGTCCTGATGACACATCCACTCAGAAACAGAACTTAAATCAACAGAGATGGAAAACTGTGCCAAACATTTGTCACTTGTTTTGTCCCTTCTGTTGTGTCTAGTGTTCATTTCAACACTCACTTGATTTCTGAGTTATTTTCGGCGAAGCTGTTCACTGTTTAAGAATGAGACTACAATATATCTACATAAAACATACAAAAAATATGTATGTATATATATATATATATATATATAATATGTATAATATATATATATATATTAAACACATAGAAGAATTAGAGCAGAACAAAACATATTTTAGCTTTATTTTGATTAAATGTTAAAGAAATCCACAGAAAGTGAACTTCTGATTATTTCTTTTCATTTCCTCCATCACTCCTTCCAGTCGGAGCTCAGCTGTAGTTCAGAGTGTGCTCTCACTGAAAAAGCCTCTCTTGTCAAGTAAGACCGTGCAATCTATCTGATTGGCTGCAATGAATCAAAAGAACGCCGAAGAAAGCAGCAGCAGGATAATTCTGTGCTGTGGTTTGAGCAGATTGCCATCTATTACATCAATACCCAGAACCACTCTAATTCATGTGCATCCTCTCAGAGAAAAACATCTAAGGAAAATGATGGAGGAAATAAAACAGTACTTTTTTTCTGGCAGTAATTTCTATTAAAATGTCAAGAGGTTCCCTGCCAGACAAAAGTCTCTGAATCAGCTCTAAAGTTCTCCAGAAATCCAGCTGCACACAGTTTTATCTGTCTCCACTGTCCAGTTAAAGTGATGAGTCAGCAGAGATTGGTCCATTTCTGCAGCCACCTGGACTCTAACGAACTCGAACGAACCACCGCACTAAAGACAAGGAGTTTACTGAAGTTTAGGAGCGGAAATGGCAGAACAAAAAACCACAAAGTTTGGGGTCCGGAGCCAATCATAGCAATGTGTGAGGGCGGGTTTTCGACCTGGGCGGTTCTAGTGTCCATCAGAGGACCGTGTATCTACAGTAAACAACCGTTCACACTCACATTCACAGTTTATTTGGTGTGAACGTTTGACATAATCCTGCATGTATTCGCTGTATTTGTAAAAAGTAAAAACTGACAGATTCAACACATATTTAATTGTGAGCAACCAGAATAGACACGATTTGTTTTCATTATGATAACTGGCTGCAGACCTGTCTGAGGAAAGCCTCCTTATTGGCCAGCTCGTTCTCCAGTTTGTCGTTGATGTCATGCACTGAGGTGGACTCTCTCTGAGCGCTCAGGTAACGCTTCTCCAGCGTGACGATCCGTTCTTCCATGTCCTCTTTCTGACACATGGCCTGCGTGCACAAACACAAAGGTGTCAGGTCTCATCAGCACAGCTGCAGCGTCAGGGAGGAACGACAGCCTTGACAGGGTTCAGTAAAAAAAGGAAAAACCAAAGAAACTGTGCAATATCTGCTTTTGTTGTTAAAAATAAATCTCAAACACGCTCCAATATTGGGGGAAGACGTTTTAGCAATTTTTTTTTTTTTTTTTTAACTGGAATTAATTGCAGACCAATATGCATTTTACTTACAGAATTTCTCTGGTATCTCAGTTAGCATTTAGCTACCTAATGCTAATTAACAAAATCAACAAACTTTTCATTGTCGTTTTTCTCGTTCGGCTTTATATGTTCTGCATAATTGTGACCAATTTCTCTGTGATTACATTTTTATGTGATCAAAAATTTAAAGCTTACTTGTGTTACCATTTAGTACAGTCATTTATCATTTTTGTCTATTTTTGCTAACCTTTTGCTATTCGTGGCATTTATTTTAGATCAAATGGGTTCTTTCTTAGACTTTTATCGGGTTTGGAGTTTTTTTCTGACTTTCCTGCAGTTTCAGGCTATTTTGTAGGTCATTTTAAGCTTACTTTGAGCTAGTTTGCTACATTGTTTTAGTTTTACGTATTTAACTATTGTGAGTGAATTTAGCTAACTTTTTATTTAACTTAAATAAATCCTAGGCTGTGTTCAGCCTCACTGATCAGGATAACTACAACATTTGGATCACTGAAGCAGCTTCTATTCAACAGTTCTTCATAAACAGTCCGGGTGATAAAACCTTACATTAACACACTGCGGTTTCCCCAGGCCAACAACAACAACAACAACAACAACAACACAATCTGTACAGTAAGAGGGTAATTTCCTGCTGCAGCACGATACATGGAGTTAGACCCACTAAAATAAAGCTATATTTATGACAGTGGTTGTTTAGAGATAGGGCTGAATGACGTGCTGCCGTCCTCAGCCTGAGTGCAGAGTAATAACCCACTGATAAAGGCCAGAGTTGATCAGAAACACAATCACAATCACTGCGTTGTTGCAATCAATAGTCATTTAAACTGAAGGCTGCACGAGATCAGCTTATTTTATGTGTACTGTATAATTCACTGCAGTTCAACCCACACGTGGTACGCATACCGCACTCCCACCAGGCTTATGTTGACACTCCTGGTCACTAATTTAATACACAAATGGTCATTTTCAATTGTTTTTCCAGGCAATAGCTTTCAAGTGACAAGGATTTGTTTTGTGCTTGTAAATAATTCAACTTGGAGTTATTATTGTGAGGTGGGTGGAACACAATCAGAGGCTTGTTCTACTTTGATTTTGTGAGCTGGTCTCTGTAAGGCAGGGTTATGTGACCTCCAGAGTTTGTCTGTTTACAGATACAGTGTGTTTACTGTCATACAGCAGTTGTACCCAAGCAAACATATGTTAATGAAGTAATGTGTACTTGATTCTGTGGTACTGTAAATACACAAGCGAGAGTAGCTGTGGATTCAGAGGGTGAAGATTTAAAAATAAAGTTCAGAGCAAAACAATAGATGAAAACAAGACAAAAAGAATAAAACATGTTCCCAGCAGCAATCGTATAGAAGGAAAGAAGAAAGAAAAACGGGAAAAGAAAAGCTGAAAATTCCAGGAGTTTATCCAAATACTAATGATAATGTTTTAAAGTTAACCAATAATATAAGAATGAATGAATGAATGTAATACTAATCTGGTAACATTTGACTTCAGATTAACATGCAAGTCAGCTAACAGTTGGCCAAAGTTGACGTGTTTCTTCGTGTTCTTGTTAATCCCACCTCTTTGATGTCCCTCTGGTACTTGTTGTTCATCTCCTCTGATTTGATGAGGTCCTTCCGGGCTGTCTCCAGCTCCTGCTCCACCTCCGACACCCTGGAGGAGAGGGAGGACATGCGCTCCTTCATCTGGGCCAGCTCGTAGTTCTGTTTCTCTAGAAGGTCCTGCAGCTCCACCACCTGACTGGCCTCATGGGCCGACTCCATGGAGCCATTAGACAGCCGCTGACGGGAAAAAAAAACATAACACAAAAAGTTGGTTTGCCTCAGTATCAAACAAAATAAAACACAAAAAGTTGGTTTGCCTCAGTATCAGATTAGACAAATGACATGTTTTCATCAGAGAACTTTGAGGCTGTTTAATTTCATATCGTGTTGCTTCTGACACTGTTCTGTCAGGGTTTATGCTGAACTAGGCTGAAAACATTTTTGTAGAATAATGTCAGAGAAGCTGAACTGTGTCAGACTTTTTCAGAGGACTCCAGAAATGGACTATAGCGTTAGCGCGCTTACTCTGAAACTAACATTTCAAGTGAAATTAGACAAAATCATTGCCAACAACCTCCTCCTAAAAACATAGAGCCAAGAAAATTACAATCAGAACTCAGATGAAGCAGAGGGAAAATAAATCCTTACCTTTTTTTCCTGTCATACCGTGATCTCCTGCAATGACTGACGTAAACCCTGAAGAAACAGTCTAGCCTCAACTTCAAAGTCATGAAGATTGATTTAAATTCCAGCTCAGGATGTTCTTCACACTCTGTTATTTTCCCTCTGCTTCCATTGGTGTGTGGCAAATAGTGGCAAAAATGAGGATGAGAGAAACACTTCACGCTGTCGGAGCAAATGCCTTAACTCCATCACCATCTTCTTTTTTTGCCACCTACGGCTCAGTCTTTTGTCTATTCGACGGAGCCACAGTCTCTTACCAGTCATCATAGCAGGTCTCACTACAGCACTGTCGTACAAACCTTCCCTTTTAACTTTGCTGCTATTCTTCTGTCACAGATCCCACCCTGCCTGGACACTTTTCTTCATCTCTTCTGTGCACTGTTAATTACTCTGGATGGTTGACCCTAGGTTTTTGAACTAATCCACCTTTACTACCTCTACTTCTTCACAGTTCATCTCAAGGCAGTCTTGAGACATGAAACTTTATTAGAAATGGAATCAAAGAATTTAAAATTCCACATTATTTACTATACATATGTTGATACATAAACAAAATGTGACCACTCTATTTAACACACCCAGTAAACATTAGTATGGACGACTCCATAGACATTTATTTTAAGACACCCTGGAGGGCCACACAAAATGACCTGGTGGGCCGGATTCAGCCCGCAGGCCTTGAGTTTGACACATGTGGACTAGATGCTCACCTTGCCGTGGACCTTCTGTTGGGTCTCGCTGTCCAGTATGTCCTCGCTTGCGTCCCCAGATGCCACTTTCCTCTGGATGTGAGCATTCTGTTCCCGTAAGGCCACAATCTGCAGGAAAGCCACGAGACACACATTTTGGATTACTTATCCCCACAAAGAAACATGAGGAGCTAATGTTGGGTGAAAAAAAAAATCACATCACTATGTGCATATGTTTCCCTAAATTTTTCTTCATTATCCAAACCTCCAGAGATCTCAGTGTTTTCGCCTGAAAAATCGTTTACCCAGAAGCACCGACTCATTACAGCCGTCGTCATCTGTTAAGTCACGCTCTCTTCTAATGCAATTCCAATGAATAACAGTGTGTTCCTCAGGCAGAAATTCTTGACTTTAACTTCAACTGATCCGAACTACAATGACTGTGATTATCTCCTCCCGCGGACCTCGTTATCACCCGTTCACTGCCTGACAACAAGTGTCCCCCAGTCTTATTCCCGTCTGTCACACAACTGATGTGGAACTACAATAATTAGGTTCTTGTCATGACGACGGCAGCAGCAGAGGAGGCAGCATGTGTTTAAAAATCTGTCTTGAGATGAAGCAAGTGGAAGTTACAGACAGTGATACTGAACTCATCAGAACCAACGGCCTGCCTGAAAGTTCAACAAATTACAAATCTCACAGATATCGTTTCGCTCGTGTTTTATTAACAATGTGGTAGTTTTCCACTTATTTTTGTGCCTGTTTTTAAAGACAAAGTCTTCAGTCACTGTTTGACTTAAACAGTTTTGCTCAAGTTAGCTTTTCCTAAATTTTAGCTCTCCTATTTTAACATTTGGCTGGTTTTTGTTTTTGTAGTCATGCTAGTCTATTTTTGCAGCTATTCTGTTACAGCAAGCATTGATCCCCAACCAACTTTAAACTATCTCTTGATATTTGATTTATATTGAAGACCATTTTGGCTAAAGTTTCGGCTAACAGCTGACCCCTAGTCTAAACAACTTGCAGTAATTTCTAGGCTATCAATGACCTGAAATGTTATGGATGAGCAATTTATCTGAAATGTAATATAAACGTGGTCTTTGTGAGGCTGGCGTCCACCACAAAGGAGACAGTACTGCAACTACCATTACAGAGCCCTGAGGATCAAACATTCTGTGTTGTTTATTCTCCTTTTTGGTGGAAGCAGTCTAAAGGATTGTACTATCCCTACAGCAGTGACTTTTAATCTAAAATCTCAGCTCAGATACAGAAACTGTAAGAAAACAAAGACACTGGAACTGTCCATGGTGCTGGTTCGTTCCTGCACAGAATTGCAGCCTTATTTCTGTACTTTCATGACTTAAATGACTGGGGACCGACACTCAACATCAACTAGTCAGGTTTTCTACACAATCGTATTTTGACTCAACTCTGAATGACTGTATATCCAGATGGATTCTCTCTATCTCTCTCTATCTTCCAGCAAATTCTCTACCTCACTCATCCCTGCGGTGGTCAGTGTGGTCTCCTTAACACCTCTCACTGCCTGAGGTCAGAGGCTGGTGATTTTATCAGAGATGCTCGTGCCAGGCAAACCTCCCTGCTGTGGGCAACATGAACCCAAACACCTCCCTCCACTCCAAATCAATTACCAGCCTGCAGGCTCCTCACTCTGCCTGAGCCTCTGAAGAGTGGACGTTTCTATTCAGACGGTGGTATTTGAACTGTCTTTTCCAAACCTAACAGTCTGATCATTCCTCTGTCCACTGTGCACAGATGGTGGTTAACCAGTTGCGAGGAATGGTCTCTCAGAGGCTGCATTGTGTTTTTCAACCTTGGCTGTTTGAGATGTGAGAAAAGTGTTGCAACATCGTACTTCACTGAAGAGAAGCCAGGGATTTCAGCAACAGAAAAAGGACAACTGCGTCCAAGATTTGAGGAAATACACTTTTTCTTAGGTTGGCTGTGGTATTTAGCTATCACATATACATACCCAAGTCCTTCTTACAAGACACTCATTGGTTCTTGTTTGCAGTGGCCGTCCTTTTACTAACACAACACCAGCCCCTGGCTGATCTTTAATGATCCTTAGTGCTTTAAACAAGGCTAAAAGTTCACACAGTCAAACCAGAATGAGCCAAGATTAAGTAATATTAGTTGAAAGGTTTAGAGCTGCAAAAGATAATAATAACTGGAAATGAACCAAACTGATTTCAACACACAAGGAAAAACCATGATACAGCTGCAAAGGCCTCTAATAAACTCATAAATAAAACATCTCAATCATTCTACAGCTGCTGCTGGAGCTGGTCGTCTCAACCTCAGTCTGGATTATTGTTTCCTCCATATCTCCACGCCTGATCAGTTGTGCTTTAAGCAGTCTCATTCACACACACACACACACACACACTCATATTCTGTGGTAAGAAACACAACCCACTTTGACATTCACCTGCCATCTTATCCACTCCTTCCTCTCTCCTCTCCACACTGACCCCCTGCTCTTCACCTGTCCTCTCCTCTAACTACTTCTCCTCCTCCTCCTCCTCCTTGTCCTCCTCAGTGGCTCCTACTAAAGGCCACAGTGTCAGACTGGCATGGATGTCAGGCTGTGAAGTGCCAGCCTGAGGCAGAGTTTTTTTTTCTCTCTCCTGGAACAAGACCATCTGCAGTGAGAGAGAGAGAGAGGGGGAGAGCAGCTCTGCCACTTCTGCTGCTCTGAGAGTCACGAGGAGAAGAAAGAGGAGGAAGAGGAGGGAGGAGTATTTGAGGAGGAAGGAGAACGACCAATCCTTCGTCAGCATCTGTGCTGTAGAGACACTTCTATATGTTATTGTATGTCATCGTTCCTCTGCAGATGAGTAGAAGAAACGTCTGCAGATGTTTGTGTCCGAAGTCATACATTATTCAGGAAACAGATCTGGAGTCAGATTACAATATGTATAAGGTTTGCCTCTATATACACAGCAGTATGTGCTCCCTCTGTAATGACATGCACCTCACTCATTAATGTTGTTTTTTTTTCTGGTTATTTTTTTATCAACTCACAATTCCACAAGGATATTTACATATTTTTGTCATTTGTCCTTGGTTGAAACCTGGTGTAAACAGCATTTCCTTTGCATTTCTGCAAATCACTGAATGACTGAGTCAGTAAATAATAGTCAATCGATCTGTCAATTATGAGGCCACAAACATGGGGCAGATATATAATGGGGAAAGGAAAATATTAACATGACATTAGGGTAAAATAAATCCGAAAGAAAAAATATAGATATTAACCCGAAAAATATAGTGTCAATTAGAAGAGAGCTTTTTACCTCCTGATTGGCTGCAGTAAGCTCCTCCTCCAGTGCAGAAACTCTCTCCAGTGACACTCGTAGTCTCTCCCTGACCTAAAAGAAAAAGGTACTTTTTTGTCGTTTTTTGGAGGATTTTCATAGACAGTCTTTATGTGTTAACACGCTTGGATTTAGAATCAAGCAAATCAAAAAAACAGGTGGGAACATCTGACTTACCTTCTCATCCAGGGCTTTGTGGTGTTCAAACAAGGACTTCAGTGCTTTGAGAACTTCCACCTCACTGGAGACACCTGATGGAGACTGAGCCTGACGTTTCACCACTGTCATTCTCAGGGACCGCTCGTGTCTTGACACCAGACACTCCAGATGTTCCAGCAGTAGCTGAGGACACACACAGGAAACACATCATCTCATTAAAACCATTTGGTTTGCGCCCCTTGCTACTGAAAGAGGGAATATTTTGAAATATTTGGAAATGATCTCCAAAGCAGTTTTAAAGTAGGCATCTGGAATGAAAACCCTAGACGCCGTTCTGAGAATTCTGGACTGGGGACACTCAGGAATACTCTCAGAAGAGCCGTTTATTTTAGGGAAATTAATATGGAAACAAAACTAAAGTTTCTCATCATGAGCATGTTGGCAACCATGGGTATTTGCACTACAAAAATAAACAACTTGTGTTTGCTTTCCTTTCCTCTGAAGGATGAACAGAGGATTTCAAACATCTCAGTAGGTGCAAGGGATAAAATCCCTGCAGGAGAATAAGATCCTGAAAATCCTGTAAAATATTATGAAATCCTGGTTGAGAGAAAAAATGAATATCCTTCTTTCTCTGGTCTACCTGATGGAACCGTCTTGTCTCCGTGAGCTTTATCAGTAGACAACAAGTCTACAGTTTGTACAGTACAAACGTCTAAATATTACATCGAGGCTCTGCCTCCAGGGCAGACAGCTTGATCCCAATCAACAAACATTTTCATCCCGTTTTACATTTCTTCAGTTTCTGTTAAAACATTTTTCACTGTCAACAAAACAGTTCCTGGAAAAATTGAATTTCTCTTGAATGTCACGCTATTTGAAGCAAGGAGCTATAATTTCTGAAAATCTTTTAAAAAATAGCTAATGTTTAAACAATCTTAAATCTTTTATATCTTGTACCACTAAAATAAGAGCACTTTTACACAAGCACTGTTTGGTCTGCTTTGACAAATTTGAGTCCACATATATTTTGGGGACAGCACAAAATAAAGCCGATTGAGATGTAAAGAGTGGTCTGTGGTTATCAGGGTTATAACACACAGTTGTGTCTTAGGAGGAACCAGCTTGTCTTGCATTAGATCTGGAGTGATATTTTGAGTATGGCTACCAGAGGTTTCCTCTTGGTGACCTTTGTGCTGGGCTCCCTGCTTGAAAGCAGACAAAGTTTAATTTATCTTGGTTAATTAAAGTTTGGACAGCCTGGCTGACTTTGCGAGGTGTTAATAAAGTGACAGAGTGAAAATGAAGTTTGTTCTTGTTTCTCACACCTCACTTCCTCTTCCTCCCTTCTCTCCCTCGCAAATTACTGTTCTGGTTCAGACACCAACCAGAGGTAAAAATAATCACTGATTCATAGAATGCTGGGTTTTACTTGTCAACAGCAGAAAAACTGTGTGTGTAGCATAAGAACATTTTTTTTATACCCAGCTGAGCCATGAAATTAAAAACGTGGGTTTTTTTTATAGTTTAAACAGCACTTTGAAGTGGACACTGCAGGACATCAGAGGAGACAGAAAATCGAGGAGTTCCTCCTCACCCTCGTGTTGTTCCTCTCTGCTTTCAGCTCAGAGATCTCCTCCTCCTTCTCCAGCAGCTGCTCCCTGCAGGCGTTCAGCTCCTTGGTCAGTGCAGCAAACTCCTGAAGGACAGAGAAGAAAAGAAGAAGAGGGTCAGGACCGAACGACACCACAAAAAATTCAAACAACAATTGCTGTGGGAGAGCAGTGAAACCCAAAGACGGCTTAAATCATTAGAATTCATCACACAGGATTTTAGCCAGGTTTTACCTTTGGTGATATTTGAATATGTTTTTTAATTTTTTTTTTGACTCCAAGCTGTAGTAGTAACAACATTAAGTAGATAGACTTATAAGGTTTCCTAACTGTTTCTTTTGTAATTTGATTTCCAATAAACAGAGTGCTACAATTTTGAAGAGTCCAAATCATTCAATCCAACACACAATGAGGAGGAAGGACTGAAGAGTCCAGTGATAATCTGTGGATGATGGAGGATCAGCTGCTGCAGGCACAGTGCCACGTGCACTGGATTTACAACTGAAGCACCGAGCGACAGCAGAGACCTGCACTTTGGTGTTGGCTGTGTATTAAAACATTTTTACTACAAACTGTGAACAGGAGCTCGCTGTAGCAGCAGGAGTCACGGACGTGACATCGCCTGTTTCTGCCCCCATACAATTTTCAGCATTACAGGACTAATTCATCTGTCAATTTAAAAAAATAATTAATATTGATAATACTGAAATTAAATAAGAAATGATCTGAAATTAGGGAGCCAATTCAAAATAGCAGTTTTAAGCATTAAAAATACAAAATGTAATTGTTACACATGATAATTTGAGCCAAGTCCAAACACTTTCTGAAAAATATTTAACTGATTTCTTGATTAACGCAGTAAAACCTTCTTGCCAAAAACGGAATTCTTCTCACAAGCTTTGATCTGACAATCGTAGCTCTCATTGTTATTCCCAGACAGTTCACCACCTGCCTCTCAGGTGACAAGGGCAATAACTCAGGGTTACAAACAAAACTCCAAGGGAAGAGTGGTGACAAAATTGTGGCTCATAACCATACGGTGGAGCAACAAATCCTGCTGGACTTTATAGAGCAACAAATCCCCAAAAAACAAGGAACCCATATGCACAGTGAGAATCATAAAATCACCACTGACTGAAACCAGAGAGGATTTACTTGGTGATCAAAGACAAGACTGTGGTTAGAAAATGGAGAACATGGCAGCACCAATCACAGTTTATACTTTGACTAGATCACACGACACTGCCAGTTGTTATGATTATGTAGTTATATGACAAAACCAAAACACATCAATATTGTCACAACCTGGAAATAGCTAATTCATAAAAACATCATTAAACAAAAACACAAGATAAAGATATTAATAAAATGCCAGGTTAATTTGAGCAATTAAGCTAACCTTAAGCAGCAGGAAATGTTAAAAGACACTGCCTAGCTTCACTTAGGTTGCCTCAAAAATGTGCTTAGTCGTCATCAACAGCAATAACAGGGGACTGTGGCTGGTAGTTAAAAGGGACATAAATATTGAAAAGCCAAAGGGATGTGATAAAATTTGGTTAAAACATTGTGTTTGCATTGTCTTTTTCCAACTATAAAAACACACAACTGTGTTAAGCAAAGGTTGGAGCCGAATCACAGAGAAAAGGGCAAAACCACGGGGGTGAAGAGGTGTTTTTAACACTGTCACTGCCTAAAGGCCACACTGTCACAATGTAAGAAGATAATTGGCTTTGCTAAAAGAACTTTTCACACACAGCACACAAACTGACCAAAAAGGTAATCCTAAAATTGTCTCCCGCAAACTGGAATAAAACATTAGCCTCCTGCCGCTAGCGTACGGTTCTCTAAAATGGTCTGTATTAGCTCACTTTATAAATGTCATCCTCTCTAGCATTGACACTATTTTAATTAAGTTTTACCAGAGGGAAAATGTGGTACAAACACACACTCCCACACATATACACACCCCAATACACACACAGAGGGGCACTGGGTGTAATAATTTAAAAATAATTAAAGGGTGTGCTCAGACAGGCACAAAAAACCAAAATCCTTCAGTAGTAATTGTCTAATAAATTTTTACAGCCTTTATTTTAGCATTTCTTCATGGAACACTAGAGAATTGCACTCACCATCTTACTCACTTTCTAACCAAGAGCAAAAGTACAAACACAGACATTTCACTGGAGTATCTAAGTAGGCCTCACTGATTAGCTTAGCTTAGCTCAGTTAAGAACAGGTGAAACAGATTAGCCTAATGCTAAACTACGTGTAGCCTATACAAGCAGCATAGTTTAAACAATTCACACTTACTTATTCAACTTACTAAGAGTTGAATAAGAAGCACATATTTTTTTACTAGTTTTTTACTATACTATTTACTAACCTTAAGCAGGTCAGCATATTAGCATATTTTGATTTTGCTGAAACAAAGGAACAACGGCTAACTTAGCATCATGCTAATGTGTTGACAAGCTACACAGTGCTACCAGCTTTTTTCTATCACTCTTTTTTCCCCTGATATATTATTTCTGTCCCTCAAATAATACAACCTGGTGAATTTGTATTACCAGGAAACTCTCGCTCTTGGCACCACTCTCATAAATAATCTGTAACTGGAAGAATGTTCTGTTGTAGAAATACAGCAAATGCAGGAGAGAGAGAGAGAGAGAGGTTGAGTGGATTTTCATCAATAAAAAAGGTGAGGCTGCTCCACATGTTAACAGCATCTTCAGTCCATCAGCTGAAGTGGACTTTCACCTCTGCTGTCAGATTTACAATTCAGATGAACAGAGTGTTGTAACACACACAAACTGCCATGAACACACACGTACACACTGACTGGACAACTATTAATACGGCTTTTAACACCTTTAGATTGAGTTTGATTCTTTTTTTTTTTTGTTACAATTGTATTTTTAATGACTGTTTAAACCCATTTTAGTGCAAAAACGTTGTTACCTAGATGTAGTGGTGCGTGTGTGCACCCTTTTAGCAGAGCTGAGTGTGTTATTTAATTTGGTATTCAATAAAGTTTAGTTTAAAAACTAATTCTACTTTATTTGGTATTTTTGATATTTACTGTACTATTATATAGAATAACTAATATTTACTATTAGTTATTTAGCAGTATATAGTAAATTTTAATTATATATATATATATTAATTCTTTTTTGAGAAAAATGCTACACAAATTTAAAATTGACTTGACTTCTTAGCTTTCAGCTTTATCAGAAATGAATCTTGTGTTTGGTCAATTTTGTTACTGAACCTTCAATCTACCTTTCTGGGATGTCCTATGCGTGTGTGTGTACATTTTGTGTTTAATATTTTTCCTTTTGGAAATTTGGAGCTAGCTAAAGTGTATTTTTAGTTATTTTTTGTCGTCTGCTTGGCTTTTAGCTACAGTATGTCTGCCATCAATATATCTGCTTGGCTTTTAGCATTTGTATCTAAATATTTTGACAAATATTCTGGTATATTTTAAATATATATAACAATATTTTTTGACATGTTTCTAACCTAATGCAGCAATTTTTGCTTTAGTCGTGGCTAGTATTAGCTACAGTATGTCTGCAATAAATATCAGTAATCTTAGTTATTGTTGTTATTTTAGTTAGCATGTGGCTTAACATGTGGCTTTACATTTAAAGTCAGCCATTTTCTGACAAACATTTGATCAATGATCAACATTGGCTGATGGTTTTATTTAGACTCTTACTTTGTTCCTGCATCCTAAAGGTAAACAATTCAGTCTCTTATACATCTGTCTGTGAATAATTAGGCATTTGTTAAAGCACAAGGTACAGTTTATTTCTGCATCTTTAAAATTCCTTCTTTATTTTCCTGCAGGTAGAACGTAAAGACAAGTCGAAAAAGTCCACCTTGCTGAGCTAAAGTGTTGCTCTGGGCGTTTCTTTAGCCTTATTTTACAATGACCTGCTGGATGTCAACACTCTCTAACCCCACCCCCCGCATCCCCCCCTTCTCATTACCTGAGCAAACTGCCTACTGCTGCAATATGTCAGCCGGTGTGTATGAGTGTGTGTGGGTGTGTACTGTATATCAGAGTATGAAGTCTGCCTGGAAAGTGAACTCTAAATGAAACCCTGGACAAGGTTTCCTCCCAGAGTCCCATCCAAAAATACAGCGGAAATAAATAAGTGAGGGAGGTGAGCTTCTCCTGAGTTACTCCTGCTGATTGTGCGTCACTCCCAGAGGAAACTTGGAGAGAATTGTTGGTTCGATTGACAGCATGCTGAGTCACAAATTGAAAAACCCAGAGATGAAAATGGAGGGAGCCCCATCTCTAGCAGCCAAAACCCAGAAACGCACATACTGTACATGAGAATGATGAGACGGCAGAAGGTGTGATCTGAAAAACAAAATTGTTCCGAGAATTCTGGAATTACCTTGAGATTAAGCTGAAAGTAATGAACAAATTTGGACTATATTTTTTGGGTCAAATATCTGTTGTGGCTTTTCCACGGTAGGAAATAAGTGACCAGATACTGTGAAATGAAAAAAAAACAATGCTTTGTTATGGTATCTAAGCTTTTCTCTGCTGCCATATGAACCACTGATTTAAAATAACGTTGACAACCCACAGGTGTTGAATATTTGATCGTCAGCGATACATACACAGCTATGGACCAAAGGACGGGCAGAAGGGAGAGAGGGAGAGAGAGTGAGTGTGAGAGAGAGCGAGCTGGTGAATAAATGATGAGACCAATCTGCTGATGTCAACACGAACACCACAATCTAGTTGTTAGTTTTAAAAACAGATGCTGGACTTAAATCAGTGTGATCACATCTTCACACTGAAAGCAATTCAGTGGAGAAATCAACCGTGCAGTGTGCGAAGAAAGTGAACAAATTATAAGAAACGTAATGTAAATGTAAAAAGTAAGTTTTTCACATTTTTTGCGAGAGACCAGATGTGGATAGAACGCTGACATCCCTGTCTCCAGAAACATGTGGCTACGTCTCCTGCTCACCACATCGTCTCCTTTTCTAAAATCCTCAGAATACACACAGAAGTCGGCGGCTCGTGACAATGTGTAAAAGAACACATCGGACCTCAGCGAAGATCACCCGTGGGCGCACTTCCTCGGCTTTAAATATTCAGGAAGGTCATCTCTGCTGAGTCAGTCTCTCATCTACTGCACGGTGACACCTTAGGGTTACACT